AGAGGTCTAGGGCACTCGAAGGAGCGAAGAACTTTCATCCGTGGAGTCCCTAGTGACGAGCTCGATTCAGACGAGCAAGACGCCGCAATCCAGTATTGGAAGGATCGCAAACAATCCGAGAACGAGCGCGTAAAAGTCGAGACTCCCGATAGCTTCGCCAGAGAAATTAAAGATGCCACCGATTCACGAGAAATCTTCATCGCAGAAAAGAACCGTGAGGTGATCGAGGCGAAGACGGCCTTACGCAAAGCCGAACTAGAGATGGAAGAATACAAACGCCGTTATCTCCAAATGATGGCTAGGACTGAGGATCTTTCATCAAACATCGAAGAGTCCATCGAGACCGATGACGACAAGGGCGCTCATGGAAGAGGCGGTGCCGATAGATCGGCATTGCTCCGGCAAGGGGCGGCAGCCTCTGCCGCGTCACAGCAACTCCGCTTTAGGACGCCTGATTACCCTTTTAAGAAGGAGCTTTTCAACTCCGCTCCTACGCATACTGTCCACTCGGCCAGTGCTGCTGTGCCCGCATCAGTGAATCAAGTACCTATCGGTCTTCGACCATCTCAGAACGTGCCTGCTTCTAGTACGTTAGGTAGAACTATTCAACGTCGGCTTGCAAACCTTCGAGAAGCAACGAATGAGCTCGAAAGAGGCAGCGCAAAGGGGAAATCACCCCCGCGATCGGTGATTAAGCCCCAACCTCCGTCCGAATATGACGGAAAGAATAGCCTTGACGTATTCCAACGTTTCGTTGAAGAAGCCTGCGAGTATCTCATCGAGGGACAAGTAACCTCGAAATGGCACGTCCAGAAACTACGCCGCTATCTTACCAAGGAGGCAGAGAAATTCTATAAGCAAAGCGTAAAAATCCCCGAGGATTGGACTATTGAAGAGTTTTTCTTGGACTTATTCAACCATTGCTTCGACGATGGCTTTATGGGGCAAGTACGCCGCAAATTCAATACTTGGGTTCAAAAGGAGTCCACTGTAAAATCCTTCGCATCCACGCTCGAAGGACTTCGAGAAGACTTAGGAGAAGAGATTAGCGACTTCAGGATGAACCAACGACTTTGGGAAGGCTTGAGGGACGAAATCACAGAATGTCTTTATCATTACGGACTTCACCCGGACTACAGCTCATACGAAGTAACCCTCGCGTCGGCAATTCAGGCCGAGCGAGCCGTGAACAATACGTTACATAGAAGCTCTAGCTTCTCTAGCCCTACGAGCAATACGTCGGTCCCTAAAGCAAGGAAAGGACGATCCACGAAAGTATCTGTGAACACACCTAAGGTCACCATCAATGAAACAAAGGCAACGCCTTCGCCTAAGTTTGTAAAGAGGCAACCAAGGAAAGATACCCCGAAGATGTCTGAAGAGGAACGTCAGCGCCATATCGATAATGGTTTATGCTGGAATTGTTCGCAGGCTGGGCACCTTGGTCGGAACTGTCCTGAACGACAGAAAACGAAAGGTGCCACGAATAAACCACCGGGTAAAACCAGCTACGCAGTCCGGTTACCATTGGTAGAGGACGAATCCGTCGAGGAAGAGGACGAACCTGTCGAGGAAGAGGACGATCCCGTCGAAATTATCGATGAGCTTCGAGCACACATGATGAATGTTGTATACGAATCGGATACCGATAGCTCGGAGGGTTCGGATACTGAAGTCGAAGAGTCGGATCGGTCAAGCACGCTATCAGAGCTTGTAGCGATCTATGGAAACCACGGCTTGATATTTCAGAATGGCTTAGATTATTGGGGAAACCCACCTGACACCGAGATACGTCCCGTCGAACCACGGAAACCTTGGGACCACGCTGCCCGAGCCGAACAATTATGGCACGATCTCGATTATCTTCGCACTCGAGGAATCATCGGTACTGTAATACATTCCCGTGAGATGTACAAGCGGTTACATAACGAGGATCACCTTCAATGTCCCGAAGAAGTGCTCAACCATGAAATGGAAAAGGAACCCGTGTTCAAAGACCGCTTCGGTGACCCTGTACAAGAAAGAATCGAACGACAGATGATATTTGGGATATCGCGACTCCCTCACCTATGGCAGACCTGGCAGAACGAGCCGCTCGTAGCTTCATGCATGACAACCACGAAGAATGACGAAGTCGTCTGGCTCATAAATGACCCACTCTTGAGTCGACTCGTCTTCATGCCGATGCTGCACATAGGCAGACAGAATTTCGACTTTGTCGGCTGGTACCAGAAACGAACAATCGAGTTTGTAGACCTGTCACATAAATATGAGAAAGGCGAGCTAGATCACGAAGACATCGATTATTACATGGAATGGAATGAAAACCAAACCGCTACTCACCTGGAGGAGACTGAGATTATGGATGGACCTACGGGTTCCGACCACAGCTCGTCTACCTCGAGCTCGGGAGGCGCAGAGGATAATCAACCGTTCCCGTGTGTCGAGGAAACGGAGGGCGACTCTGTTATTGAGCATCAGCACCAAGGTGCAGACAATCAGGCAACTACCATACCTGACGTCGAATCAACGGCGACAAATCCAAGTTCGACAGGTTATGCCGATAGTTGGTGGGTACATGCCCGACAAATACCTGAGAAATTCCCTCGTGCAAAGATCGAATCAGTGACCGATAATACAGACTGGAAACTCACAGAATATTCGGAAACTCTCCCCAGCCTGCATGATCACTATTCAGTGTATAGAGAAGACATCAGTTCAACGGATGAGACAGTGTCTTCGGACCTTAGTTCGGAGGGCGAAGGGGTATCAAATTTGGAACCAACGCCCGAACACATGAAAAACAACGATAGCGTACCTATTGGAGAACTAGATGACGACTTCACAATACGTCCACGATCCGTCAAATTAGTAGATGAATTCTGCGTAAAAGGCATTATCGACCCTCACACATGGAGGGAGTGCAACTCAGTCAAATACAGCATTTGTGCTGCGAGAACCAAACAAGCTCCGGAAGGAAGCTTTCCGTCACTCCAACGAAATGCGGCTCGCGCCAAGATTACTGGCAGAAGTATTCCAAAGCCGCTCGTTATCATAGTACAAGTCAATGGACACGAGTGCCGGGCTCTACTGGACTCAGGATCGCTAGGCGATTTTATGTCCACCACGCTGGCTGAGCAACTCAAAGTTCAACGAACGCCGCTACAGACCCAAATCACGGTACAACTAGCCGCGCAAGGATCAAAGACTAAAGTGAATTATAGCACTACAGTCGAACTAGGCTATGCAAACGTCAAGTGTCAGAGAACCTTTGATATCATGAACGTCGACGGCTACGATCTGATTCTAGGAACCCCTTTCATATGGCAACACAAGATATTAATCGGGCTGAACCCCTCTCGCATCCTAATTGGCTCTGACAACCCTGTGGAACTCCGAGTTGGTGAAGACGTAGGTGTCCTAGCCTCTCGGGCTGTCCGCCTTGAAGAGCAGTCCCTTAACGAGGTACGAGCGAAACTACATGAATATGCGCAACCTTTGTATCAGAAGGCCAGCGAAACTGAATTACCACCTCTTCGCCGCGTCAATCATCGGATTCCTATCAAGGATACAAACAAGCGATACCCTTTCAGACAATCAAAGTGCCCTGAAGGATTTCGTGAGTTATGGAACATCAAAAGAGATATATTTCTAAAGTCCGGACGATGGCAGTTCGCAAACGGAATCAATGCTGCCCCTCTCATGTTTTTGCGAAAACCCACGGGAGGAATGAGAAACACGGTCGATCTACGAGCAAGGAACGACAACACAGAGAAAATTGCTTCCCCGCTACCTGATCAAGATGGAATTAGGCGCCGCGTTGCCCGTAGCAAGTATTTCACGGCTATGGATCTGGAGGGCGCGTACGAACAAGTACGCGTTGAGCCTGAGGATGTAAAACATACCCTCATGGCTACACCCGACGGAACCATGATCAGTTTAGTACTACAGCAAGGCGATTGT